AACATAGCCCGTCTCGCCCGCTGATTCTCGCCTGATTTCCTCAGCGGATTGCGATTCCGATCTGGTAGTGGATACATTCGTGAAGCAGATGCCCTTGAGCAATTAGGTTTCCTTCGAAGGCGCTCGGGAAGCTGTTAGCAAATCCTACCCCTCCCGGCTGAGCCCGTACTCGCCCATCTATCCTGGTGAAAGCGGATAAGCATCCGGGCCACCAGTAATACTTCCTGTCTAAAAATAAAATATTGAATAAAACACACAAGATAATCCCACTGAGTTTTTTGCCGGATCTTCACAGAGGGTCGCGATTCCGATCGGGTAGCAGATTCTGCGAAGCACTGCTCTTGCTATGGCTAGTGTTAGCAAAGTCTCCCAGGCTAAATGAGCCCCGTGAGCTTATCTACCCGTCCGGGCGTAGCTGGAACAGGCTCCTAGGCTACCAGCGAATAGGTAGGAAGAAAAGCGCTCCTTCACAACTACACCAAACGCCTTTTTTTATTTGTGTCCCTAAACCATTCATGCGATTGTGATAAGCCCTTCTGAAACTGGCCGTCGTCGTAGACTGAAGGACCAGACGCCCGGTGCATTCGTATAGAACGTTGAGACTGTACCGGTGTTCCAATCTAATAGGCAGGCAATCTAGACAGGTACCAATTTTCTAATGAATTACGTATCTAACAAATGCTCACGAACGACTTCCATAGAGAAGTAATAAAATCGTCTAATATAAATCAAACCCACAAAATTATAATTTGCGTAATGGTGGTAGGACGTGTTATGAGCCCGCACTGGTAGGTACCACACCCTGCCTATTTCGGCCTGAAGCAGTAATGCATTTCGATTTGAAGAGTGGGGCAGCTAGAGTGCTATAAATTGAACTGACTCAAGTCTCAATACCTTAGGTTGGGTGACGGCATTGACGTTGCTGATGTCGTTGGGCTTCGGTAACCACTTAACACCAGGTGGACCGTAAGCTAGTCCATTCATATAAGCAAAAAAAATATTGAAGAAACTAAAGTTGCTGTAGCTACTCCAGAGATTTATATCTTAGTACTTTCAACATGCGATAGAACGGGCGAGTAGTTTCAAGAAAACTATTTTTTCCCTAACTAAGCTTACCTAACCCTAACAAGTAAGTGAGCTCTCGGGGCTCTAACCTTGGACGTTGCTAACACCTGCCATTGCAAGAGCAGTGCTTCGCAGAATTTACCACCGGATCGGAAACGCGACCCACTGAGAAGATCCGGCGGGAAACTCAGTGGGCTGTGTCTATGGGTTAATTTACTCGTCGAAGTTTACTCGCTTCAAGGACCTACCTAAAAGCACCGTTAGTGGATCGGGAGGATCCGAAATGACGTGTTTAGGGCAACTTCGAATGTTTACCATTCGGTCCGCAGGATCGGGTATGTAATTACCGGCGGCCATGACAAGAGGGTTTTCGTGTCGTGCCGCCTTCTCAAAGTGGCGCAATGATGCCGACTGTAACTACTTACTGATGGAGTCAAGCTACAGATCGTCGTGGTGATCCACGTTCCTCATGAACCACGGTCCTCCTGCAAAAATGGGATTGAATGACTTGAAGTAAGAAAACAGTGTATTTCATACAGTTGTGATCACAGCTGAGTTTCACTAGTGAAAAATAAAACAATGCACTTAGTGTTAATACGTTTTATTAGTGTTCACGAAAACAATACTAATGTGTCGTACATTACATACTACTAACTAGTACATGGCACCGCCGCGCGTCGCCACCACGTTGCAGCCGCACGTGGTGTTAGAATACTGTTACTTGTTTGTTTTATACAGGAATCAGATATCATTTAACGACAATTTACATAAACTGCGTAACGTTGTACACTTGCAGTCACAGAGAGGCTTGCAGTTGTTTTACTGTCGTCCGATCAAGTCGCGGTTCGACAACGACTCGCGACCTATCCTACGCATCGTGGCTGCTTGCGCTGAATCACATTATTTATTTGTAATGGCAGTTTCACTGGTAATATTAATGTTTCAGCCAGCGCTAACTTACACTTAATTCTATCTCGTATTATAATAATTGAATAAATATAAACTATTAAATAACATTATATAGTCGTTTCATCTGTGCATCTCGCTCTGACGCATGTTATAAGTTGACTTTCAAAGTTACTGTATTTTATTCCGGATTCGCGTCTCTGTTCATGTCTGATGTAACCAATATTATATTAAGTTAGTTGTACCTACCACAATAAACAAAATTTAAACAATATTTAAGTAATTCTAAGTTGAATACGCACATAAGCGCGCGCGCTTAATGTTGCTCGGCTAATATAAACAGTGGCCGCGCAATACCACTTCAGGATTATCTCATTTTATGAATTAGATTGCCTTCTTATATTTATCGCTGACATTGGAAAAGAAAGGTGGCGGTTTAATAAAGAATAATATACTCATCCATATACATATTGACGCTTGAAAAGCAAACGTGACTAAGCGACAATGCGTGTACTTTACAGTAGACTAATTTAAAGTAGAAATACCTGAAAAAAAATCTATTTTAACGAATCTAGCTGTAGGATTGAAATGATTTTAATAGACCTAGAAATTATTATTTTTTGCGCATCGAATATGGTTATTGCCTATCATTTATGCACAAAGCAGTTATTGTCGCTTAGTCACGTTTGCCTTTCAAGCGTCGATATGTATATTGGTAACAGTAAAAATAGATCGTCAACCTGTTGACAGCCTGTCGAGAATCAGCACATTAGTGGCTCGACTTGGTCTTTGGGTGGACACACGCGTATGACATCATCGAGGGAGATGCACGCTCAGAACAAAACAACTACATAAAAACTTTATCTTCGTGTTAGACTATAATAAATTAAATTTAAATAACTTTCTATTTGTACTTGAACGAAGGTAGTTAGTTAATGTAATTTATAAAATCAGTCTTTAAAAGGAGAAGGGGGAATAAATGCAGCAAGTTCTCAGGTACAGGGTTCAGGAGATCAGGAAACTCAGCAGAGAGCTCTCATTGAACATGACGTAATAACGGGACCGACCCATATTAGTCGGTTGTATAACTTCAGCGACGATCTGGTGCAAAATAAAAACGAATGCAGATCATACCAGACATAAATGCAGGAGTCGCTGGAGCATGATAATGTAATGGTTCCCGTTAGTCTGTTCTACAATAGTTGCTTCATGTAAGTAAACATACATTTCGCTTTTACATCGAAATAAAAATGACATAAAAAAAAACTGTTATATACTTAACGTAACTGATGTTAATACTAAAACATCTTACAGACTAACAAAATTTTCAGATTTTACATCTACAAAGAACATAAATGAACCTTAATAATAATAACTTATTATAATATTATAAAGTATAAAATGAATTTGGTATCGAATTTGTTGACTTGTTAGTCGGTCCCATCTGCAGATCTACAGAGACGCATGATTCTATGACCGACCCGGTGAGAGAACATTTATTCTCTGTAATTATTACAAATATTCCATATCCAAATTGTACAGAAACCAATTGAATGTCCAATAAGAAACACTATGAGTAGTGGAGTGTAGTTGTTATTGAGATACATCTACATACAGTACAGTCGGGTACACAAGTGCTCGGGACTTTATCAAAAACCGAATTTTTGCAATAAACATCTTCAGAAAACTTTCAGATAAATATTTAAGGGTTTTAACGTAAGAATTTTGCGAGAGGTAGCCCTACCACTGGAGATGGTGAAGCGCTCTCACTTCACAAAAAGTCCTTGCGCTAGCGGATTATTTTTAACATGATTTTCCATTTTATATTATGATTTTCAAATACTGCATTGCATACTAATGTTGATTAGTATTAAAGGCATATACACAATTCTTTGTTTCTACACAATGCACTGTACTTGTTACATTTTAGTATAAAAGTGAAACAATTTGTACTGACAATTATTCTTAATTATAAATATTTTTATATTCGTAATAAATTATTATTAATAAAAAATATGGCTTTATCTTAAATCGCGAGTAATACATATGTATTATGTATACGAGTATGGCACATTGAATGCACATTCCCTTGAGGGCGCCGTGCAACGAGAATGTCCGCTGTTTTGGCCAGTTCTAGTTGCTTTATTTCATAATTATCTGCTCATGAACACACAAAATAACTAACCATCTGAATTATTTGTTCGTCCGTGTAGGGTATGTATGTATGAGTGCAACTAAGTAAAACTTCACTTATAAAGTAATCCCGTACACACAAAACAATTAAATTAAAATAATTCTCAATATTCAAATATTTCGGGCAGTCTTAACGTTTTGTTTAAACAAGACTTCGATCGAGCGGCTGTAGTGTCTCACGGGGACAGCTCTGTGACGTCACCCTATTCCAACACTGTATGTAGGGTGCTCATTCTGTAAGCGGTCGGTGCTACAGTGGGAGGGCTCGGAGCAGGCGTGGAGTCAGTGTGTAGCCTGCCGAAACTTCTCTTTGAATCTAAATGAACTAATAAGGAGCACATGATATTAGATATGTAATATGCATTATGCATGTCCTATACAGTAGTTCGCTCCGTAATGTCGTTGTGTGGCGAGAATACAGTCGGCCATTTTCCTTTTAGTCGAATGCAAACAAAGAATTTGTTCATAAAAGTGTTGATGACTAAAGATAAAAGTAAGTAACAGAAAGAAATTTGGCTTTTAATTGAATTTTGACTTTTTTTACTAAAAAATAACGCAGCAATGGTTACATGAGTGCCGCACTCGCTCGTTACAAGTGATGCTATTGGTTTGATGTAAACTCTCATGGGTTTATGCAGTTTTGAGGCCGTTTTGAAGCCACTTACAGATTTAGTCTGGTTAATGGTTTCAACATATATTCAATGAATCTTTGGAATTTCATCACGCAGGGGATAGATAAAGAAGTCATGGCGAGACCTGCTCGTTCAAAATGTAGAGAGCCCAAATATACGAAAATGTCCTTTAACGGAGAAATATAAATACATATTCGTTAATTATCCAAAATAATTTCAATTCAGTTTAATAATTAATATTGCGTGTTTTTGCCGTTTCATTTCTAGAAATTCAATTTAGATAATTTTGAAAAGCATTTGTATAACGGTCAGTAGTCAGTAAATATTACTTTGCACTGGAAATACTAAGGATAATAAATAAAACAGTCTTGGTTCATAGAGTTGAGAACGTCGGGACTTAGCGTTCAATGCATCGACCAATAATATAGTGGTTATTTACAGAGATGAGTACTGTTTTTAATGTATCGATGTGACGCGATCACGCTTTGTACGCGTTGGGAGGAGCGGGCCGGAGGGCGAGCGCCAGCGTCAGCAACAACGTGAGGGCGTGGAGCGCCAGCATCAGCGCGCCCAGCGAGAGCGGCAGCCGCGCGGCGTGCTGCAGCGCCCACAGAACGCGCCCCGCGCACCCCGCGCCGTGCACCCCGCGCCCCGCCCCGCTCGCGCCTGCCAGCACGCGCGCCGCCTCGCACGCCGCCACCTCGCGACTCTGTACCCACCACCTCGGCTGTATACTGTACGCGCCACTCTTTCTACTTCACGGGTTGTTCAAACGGATAGAAGACCGATAATACTTGTGGCGGTAGCCATCATAGAACACAAGAAATTTGACAGATGTCTGAATCTCGCTTACGATCCGATCTTCAAGATAAGCTCGCATTTATACAAGTCCCGATCAACAAAATTTGGACTGTCGGTCTACCCAGCAATTACACCCGCTCGTTGAAAGATCTTCCCTTTGTCGTATACCCCCAAACATTCAATCTAGTCTATTCATGAATGTAACACAAAATGGTACCTTTGGGCAATACTGATTTTGTTTGTGTTACCTTGCAGCAGGAGGCCGGCACAGAGTAGTGTAGTGCCGGCGCGGACACGGAGAGATCTAATACAGGCGAGGACGGCACTTGCCGCTGCGACCACCATGACTCCTGCCAGTCACGTGCACTGTCTGCCCCGCAACACTCCAACTGGTTAATTACAATATCGTTATTTTCTCAGGTAAGCATCAACATGATATCAGCTTCTCAGTGAATCTATAAAGTTGTATTATTCTTATAATACTCACCCCCTCTTGTATGGCATCAATGATCTGAGTGCGAGAGGGTAGGAGTCCATAATGTTGTCGTACTGTAAGGGACAGGGTGTCACGCAGAGCACGGTGCAGGCGTGGCAAGTGAGCGGCGCCCCAACACGCGGCTGCGGCCTCAGCTGCGGCGGCCAGCGCTAGCAATGCACAAGCCGCACCCAATAACGCGCAAGAACTTCTCACCGCTCCACCCAAAGCCAAAGCAGCTCCAACTAGTAGAGCAAGGCCCCACGCCAATACGGCGCCCAATGCTGCACGTCCTGAAGCAGTCTCTGCAGCACTTCCTTCCCACAGAGCCCAAGAAGCAAAAGTTACACAACCCAAGCCCACAAACTGAAAACAAATTCACAATGACAAGAACTGAAATACTGAAATATATAATTCAAATATATACATAAATGTGATAAGATATTCAGAAGAAAAATGTGAGTTTTTTTTTTGTTATTGCTTATGTGGTTGGACAAGCTCACAGCCCACCTGTTCTTAAGCGGTTACCGGAGCCCATAGTTATCTACAAAGCCACCCACCTTGAGATATGAGTTCTAAGGTCTCAGTATAGTTACAACAGCTGCCCCGCCCTTTAAGCCAAAACCCATTACTGCTTCACGGCAGAAATAGGCAGGGTGGTGGTACCTACCTATGCAGACTAACAAGAGGTCTTACCGATAGTAATTACACTAATTATCATTTTGCAGGTTTGATTTATACTTCACAATGTAATTCCTTCACCGTGGAAGTCAATCGTGAACATTGGTTCAGTACGTATTTCAATAGAAAAATTGGTACCCGCCTGCGGGATTCAAACATTTTTGCATCACTGAATACAAATGCACCGGACCTCTTATCCTTTAGGTCACGAAAACTTCAGAGTATTAAGATCACAAAATAAGAATTCAAATATACACTTATTCTAATTTTAGGGTTTTATTTGTAAAATACATTTAGCTACATACAATTAGCTTTAATTTTTGTTATGCCTTCACTATGTATATATTTCATTTGTATGTGCTACATAAGTACTTCCTTAGAGAGATTGATATTGGCCAGTGGCATTCAAACCTCGGCACAATACACTGAATGCCTTGGGCTGCATAGGTCTCTGATACCATAGATATAACAGACCTACTCAGTGATAGATATTTTAATTTATTTTTATTACTTGTTTGTTATGTATTACTTGTAAATTATTTACGGCATTGGACGATGACGATCTGTTTTAGTGCTATTTAATAAAGTAGACTCGCATGAGCATCGGGAGAGCGCAGAACGCATCCATGCCTGGATTGTACTGGATCCATACTTGTTTGTTTATGTTTATGCGCGGGCTTGCGCGCCTATAGAACACGGGTAGAAAACCACCTATTACTACTAATGGTAACTATGTAAACTATGCCTAGTTAATTCAACTTTAGCAAGATTGTGTCCAAACACGAAACTAGGTTATTAAAATCGATCGGTGGTTAGTTGGCTACCAAATTACGGCAGTTTGTACGTTTACATAAATGATAAATTCAATAATAAAGAATCTGAACTAATTGCGGCCGCAGTTCGCATTCTATACTTATAACTCAATTGGAATCCGTGAAACTTACCATAAATATTATGTTGAACACTATTAAAAGATACTTCATGAGGGAGTAACACCGTGACATACCCATTATTGATCCTAACGAGAATAAATGCACTATACACGTCTTTACTTTCAATAAATGAAAATATTCGTGAATTTAAAAAGCTATCCACATACGACTTTATTTGTTTATTTATAATAACGACTTTGAAGCCAAGCAGAATTCAAGATGAAAACGAAGATCAATGACTTATTGACATTTTTAAAGTCATTATTGCCATTTTAGAAATTGATAATAAGTAGATCATACTCTAGGTCTTTTGCACAAGTTAATTTTTTTTTTTTAAATCGGGTTAAGTATAAACTCTTATTTACTTTTCAAAATGTTAAAAAATATTCCCATTCGAAAAACAAGAGTAGTTTTGTTTTCTCGGAGGAATTTAAATTTAGTTAGGAATAGACAAAGTCGTCAAGCTAGTTTCACTACGACGAATGACGAGCGACGAACGCCGAACGTTCGCATGTTTTGACAGTGAACAGAATGTCCCCTTTGAAAACATAAATAAATGGCCACCGTTGTTATTACGTTTTTCCTATTTGCACGATTTTATGTTTGTAAAATGGACGCCGACTCTACGGAGAGGCGGAGGTAATTTTTTCAAGCTGTAAGAAATAAAAGCCCCTCGAAAGTAAATATAATTTTCACAACAGTGTTTTGCAAATCAAATAGGGGTTGTTGACAGAAAGTTTCGCGCCAATGGAATTGCAATAGGCGGTGGTGTTGTGTCCGCGTCTCCTTTCAGTAATGTTATCAATAAAAGGACACTATTTTCAGGGAACGATACACGTCCCGAAGAGACCGGTGGAGTATGAACTCACAACGGCTAGAGCAAATCGTCGCGGAGCTGATGAAACCCATCAGCGACATCCGCCGAAGCTTCGACACAGACCTGAGCGCGGTGAGTGTCGTGAACACGCGCCCATTTCAGTTGTTGCCTGCTTGTTTTTATCTTCGCACTCGCCTATCACCACTGACATTACAGCTCCATTAATTAAATACATACAATGAACTTTGGCGGGAACACGCAATGCCCGGTGAACTTGCGCCTCTATATTCTCACGCCAAATTATATTTAAATAGACCTACACATTTCGGAAACCAAGTTTGCTCTGCGATATCATAAATAATTTAAAGTGAAAGATACAAAATAAGAAATATTGAAGGACATATGGAAACGAATTATTCTTATTTAAAGACATGAATGGTATCATATATACACAGAATACCTTTTTGTTCAATTTATATAACACAATACATTCATCCTAATATTTTGTTCAGTACAAAATAATCTAAAATTTGACTCCCAAGACAAAGTACTAGATGTACCAAGCTTAGTGGGAATAATTGGTTCAGGTACAATCTATACAACTAATTGACCAGATTAAGTTCCAAGTATACATACTATAAATCAGATTCAGCATTTTCTATTAATAAAATTATTAACTTTGAGGTTTCATCTGAGAATCAAAAAATTTTTAATAAGAATAAAGAGCTGAAATAAATACAAAAAGAAATAGATGTTAAAAACAATTCTCTGTAATAATTACCTTGGGCATTCAAAATAAAAATGTCTTCAAGGCAATATTATACTTCCGTGTCTTTTGTTCAAATATTTGACTTGAAAAGGTAATTTTTGCACAGACTGTTTGCTCATTACCGATTAGATATAGCACAATGTCATCACACCAATAAGTTAACAAGTTTAGAAAAAAACCTATATTTTGTAAACTCTAGTCTCTAGTATTTTCCTCTGAGTTACCACGAGCTGTATCCTGTATTAAGTTACCTACCTTTTCTTCTCTGTGATGTTCATGGGCTCCTCAGAAGCACTTAATTGGGTTGATGGTTTTGAGTTTATATTTAGGATATTTACTTAAAATTAAAGATACTATTGAAAGTAAATTAAATTAAAAAAGAATCACACGAGTTAAGTTAATATTTTGAAACTAAATAGTGTTGTATTGAAAAATAAATTTTAACAACTTAACTCTTGTAGTGTTTACTTTTTGTAGTATTTTTATTTATTTATTGACATTGTGACCATCAAACAGCCCACCTAATAGTGAATGCTGACTGTGACTCGTGAACATCAGCAAGATCGGGACAGAGTCATGTTGCTGTGTACCTACCTAATTATTAATATAGTAGTACAAATATTTTTAGTAATGTCTACAAAAACAATAAAACTATTATAAACTGCATTTTTAAAATGTCCATAATAAAACTCAAATTAATGTTAACTTTGATATTAGCAGTGGCACTTTGTTATTGTAATCATAGTTTCAGTAAAGATTTAAAACTTGGGGAACTGCAAACTCGTCTGTCTATTTACAGTAAATTAGTCTATATATCCAGATAAGGCATCCAGATTAAATCTATATAATTTAAAATAAAAGTTAATATGCAAGAGGGCTCATTTCACAAACACAATAGTGGTACATAAATTATTTAAATTTAAATTCATTAAATATTTTACTTATTTTTATAAATATGTAGTTGTTAAAAGTCATATGAATGCACAATCTATTAATACACTACCCAATGCGATTTAGTGTAATAAATAAAACCATCACAGTAATTTTACAGCAACATAAAAATATTTACCAGGAAAGATAGTTTAAAATGAAGAAAAATCTCTTGTAACTCTTCATGAAATGGTTAAAATAAATAAGTTAAAATATTTCCATTCAATCAAATATATTTATTCTATAAATTTACAAAAAGAATATTCCTTATAGATGATTACAACAATCGATGGGTTTGTAAAACTTTCATTTAAATGTAAGCAACTGTTAACAAGTAAATGTATGCGCATATCAATCCACTAGCCTCAACAAGTCTGTAATCTGGAAAATGTGTTTACCATTACAATAGTTATTGTTTTTTTTTTACATTAAGAATGGAATAGAAGTACATAGTCTAACTGGTTTAAGTTGATACCAGGAGCCATAACTGCTACAACATAAATGCACAGTGGGTCTACGTTCAGACCAGATCTCGAAGCTTAAATTGCGTTGCGTGTCTTATTACAGTTCCATGATAAGCTTCGGCAAGACAGTGGTAGGAGACTGAACTGACCTTATATGCTATCACTAACTTTACTTACTATACTTTATTACAATCAGAATATACTTACAGCGCTGGTTAAAAAAGTCATAGTCATGATGAGGCTTAATACTTTTAGAACACACTTTAAGAGAGAAATCCTCTTTTAGATGGATTTGCTTGAAGACATGTACAAATATAGAATAAAATTAATTTTGGTCACATTTGCCTCAACAGTCTAAAAATGAACTTATTGTGGATAATTAACTCAGAGAGAAAACCATTGTGTAATCTTAAAATAAAAAAAGGCAGGCCCACTGAGTTTATTCACTGACTTCTTAGGACCGTGTCTCTTCTTGGAACCATTGCACTCTTTAACATATTTTTAAATTCGTGCACACAATATGTTTTACATTTAAGATGGGTAACTTATTGTTTTACATTTAAGACAAGTTTTACATTAAATACATCGATAGACTCAGAAGTTCCAAACAGGTTGAGACCCGGATTATTGACCATCCATAGAGCAGGGTATTGGGGAAGACATATTGTATCATCTAGCTACATGTTATTCAGGCAGCTCACGACTGAGAGTATTCATGGTCCTCAATACTCCCTTCCCTTGCTTGTTCTGAGTTCAATCTTCGCGAATGCCGAACGATTGAGAAACATGTGCTGGATGAGTAGGTTAGTGGTTCAACTGCACCAGTATGAACCCTCATCCCAGACCGTAATAGTGATTCCTAACAATGTGCATGTTTAACATGCCCATGTCCGAATGATTGCGTATTGATATTGAATTATAGAATCTAAAAAAATAAAAATATATAATTAATTTGTGATTCCAAAGAAACCTTTCAAGACTTAATGAATTTGTACTTTACTAAAGCCAATCTGGTTTTGCTTTGTTTGTCTGCCTGTATGATTGTCTACCCAAGTATTCATAGACTCCCAAAACGGATGATTCTGAGAATTCATGTGATCAGTAACAGATATTTTATATGAAGTGCTTTATGTTCTATACATAATTTAATTACAGGTTTAACACGGTCGTACTTTTAAATTTATTTGCTTTACAAATAGAGCAAGGTTCGTTGACCTAATCTGCTATACATTGTTAAAATGTTACATTTCACAAAATATTTGTTTTTAACTTATTGATCAAATGATCACATCTTTTGTTTCACAACGAATGTTGGGAGACACTTAGCATTTAGGAATATTGCTAACTGCTAAATATTGCTGCAATGTCCAAGCTGTGCAAACATTGCATAGCTTTAACATGGCGTAACCTTGGCGGGTGTAAACTTATATTGTTAGTGGAGCGTGGGCTTACGCTCGCACTGGTGGTACCTGTCACCGTTCCGCCCATTTCTGCCGCGAAGTAGTCATGAAGGGTGGGATGGGACACCCAAAGTATTGTGCAGTTAAAACTCCGACTTCATATATGCAATAAGAAACTCATAAACGTGATGTAAAATTAAAAGAGCTACCTAACATTACTATTTTTGAATCAAAATAAGATTAAGTCTACTTCTTATCACGCCCCACTTAAAGAGTCACCTTATACCAAAATAAAATTAAGTCAACTATAACGTGAGAATCTTTTAATCACGTAAAACTGAAGAAAAATTTACATCAATTAGTGTTAAATTGCATCCAGCTGTTTCAATTATTGTCAAATTTATATTCACCGAGACACAACTGCACAAATAAGTGCATTGTTTTTAAATGAATAAAATTAATTCAGGGCTATGTCTCGTGTTTGGGTTTAACAAAAACAGATAAAGTAGAGTATAGATACTTTCAGATCAGCCTTGAAGTATCGTTACTTGTATCCGAGTTGCACGAAAGCATCATTACTTTTCTTTGATTTCAATGTAAATCGAGTACTTAGGTGTTTTTTTTTTTTAAATATGAGAGGAGGATATGCTGACGCTTCAGAAGCCATTGCAGAACGAGTGACAAATTCTGGCGATAAACTCTATGGGCTCATGATATGGATTCATCAGGACGTGTAAAGGTGTCTACGGTGGCTTGTTGTTGCGTGACCTTGGCCAGGCATGTAGTTAGCGGCGGACACAATAAGAGGCTTATCGTGTAGACCACGCGGGAGCGGACGGAGTAAGCCAACATGTGAGGTCGGATGACGAATTAGATACTTGACCTTCCTGGTTAACAGTAGAGAGTGATCGAGAAGGGAGTAAAATTAAGCAAAAAGAATAAAAAGCAAGTAAAATAAATTACTCCCAAGTTAGGATCTTCTACGTTATTCTGGTAATCGAAATCGAAGTTGTCGTGGCCTAAAGGATAAGACGCCCGAAGCATTCGTGTGTAGCGATGCACCGGTGTTTGAATCCCGCAGGCGGGTACCAATTTTCCTAATGAAATACGTACTCAAAAAATGTTCACGATTGACTTCCACGGTGAAGGAATAACATCGTGTAATAAAAATCAAACCCGCAAAAGTATAATTTACGTAATCACTGGTGGTAGGACCTCTTGGGAGTCCGCACGGGTAGGTACCACCACCCCGCCTATTTCCGCCGTGAAGCAGTAATGTGTTTCGGTTCGAAGGGTGGGGTAGCCGTTGTAACTATACTGAGACCATCGAACTTATATCTCAAGGTGGGTGGCGCATTTACGTTGTAGATGTCTATGGGCTCCAGTAACCACTTAACACCAGGTGGGCTGTGAGCTCGTGCACCCATCTAAGCAATAAAAAAAAATCTATTGTACCTACAAACTTGCCGAGCCTGTAACATAACACAAAAACCAAACTTTTTAAAGGCCGGCCACGCTTTACTCTGAACATTTCTAAATGTATTAGAGATATATTCGTTTGTTGTAAAACTCGTGCGTGACTCCCTATACGTTAGCTATATACTATATAAGTTCAAAATTATCAATTCTTCAGTATGTGCAGAGTATTTTTTTATGTTCTCGATTGAGGACGCAACAACGCGTGAACACATTGAACCTTGACGCCTTCAGCTCTAACACTAGGAGCAGGCTTAGAGACCTCGGTAACCGTACTCGTCGAACTCGACAAAGAGTTCGCCGTGCAACCTAAACCCATGAATCAGCTCGCTGAGTTTCTCGCCGGATCTTCTCAGCGGGTCGCGATTCCGATCCCGTAGTAGATTCATTCGCGAAGCAGCTACTCTTGAGCTGTTAGGTCTCCTTCGGAGGCGCTCGGGTAGCTGTTAGCAAATCCCACCCCTCCTGGCTGAGCCTTTGCTCGCCCACCTGTCCTGGTGAAACTGGAAAGGCCTCCGGGCCACCAGTAATCCTTCAATGATAAAAAAAAAACATTGAACCGCAACAAATAAAACTATAAATGCCTCCTTTTTTACATATACAGTAAGATTCCGCCAGTTGTAATGGCTGGCACCTCAAATTTCAGATCCATTTTATTTAGTATAATTCCTCATTCGGATTACTAAATTCACATCCAATGAGGCGTCCCATTTACATGAACTCGTGGCAAAGCTTTGTTTGGTGGCTTACGCAATTAGAGAAATAAGACAAATAGCGGATGTTGAAACTTCTTGAAGCCGGTGTAGGCCCACGATGCAACCTAATTTAATTAAAAGCTTCTATAGATAAGGCAGGGACAAGTTCCAGGTCTAACGGTTTGCATTAAAACGGCTTAATATAGCGGTCATTATTTTATTTTCTGTTTAAAAAAAAACATAGACGGTAGTTGACATTATGAGTGTATTCAAATGCGGACGAATAACACCTTGGTCGTCCGTGACCACGTCATTTAAAGTAAATTTATTCCAATGAAAATCAATTGAATTTGATACCAAAATAAGTTATCAATCACATAAACTACTTTCTATTTTACTCTTATAAGTAGTTTAAATGTATTTTTCTTATACATGAGGTCTACTTAATTGACAGCTCTTAGAGGAGTACTTGACGGAGGCGGGACTCCACGCGCTGGAGGCGGGCGAGCGCGAGGATAACGAGGAGGAGGGACTTCCCGCAAATGGCGTCCCCAACTTCGCGGAACTGGCGCTGGTGCTACAGCACTCTGCCTGCGTGTACGGACGGAAGGTCGACTTCCTGTACCAGCACGTGCTCAGCGTCAGCGACTCGCTGCAGCACAGCACGCAGGACGACGCGCCGCCCGACCAGCTGTCGCACGACGACTCGCACGTCGCCAAGCGCCGCCGCAGGGCCTCCGCGGCGTCCGGCGACTTCGTGCTCATCGACCTGGAGCCCTGCCCCGGCGCCAGTCGCGAGCCCGACGCCCGCGTGCCGCCCACCCTGGCGCGCCACTACGTCGAGCTGGAGCCCCGCCCCACGGCTCTCTGGGAGCGCCCGCTCGTGGACTACCGGGGGGAGCCCATCGGGCTGCCGGCCGACTTCTACGTCACTTGGAGGCTACAGGTGCTCAATCGTTTTCCAATTGCAATACGGTTCAACTCGCGACTGTCGAGCGGACGGATCTGTCATATGCATTTTTAATTTATTTGGATTAGAACGGATTACTAGTGGACGAGCTGGTGTCCCCGTCGGGTCCTCGAACGGAGCCCCTGCGGCCCATCTCTCTGGCAGAGCTGCAAGCTGCCATCTTGGCGCACGGCCTTCCCTCTCCGGTGCGCACGTCCACACCCCTGATGCTGGAGGCGCCGCCCCTCGAGCCGCCACCCATCACTCCAGTCGTTGCCAAGAATGAGAGGAAGCGGAGGAATGAAGTCCACTTAGAAGACATCGCCGAGGGTTCCTTGAGACTCGTCATCAGCAATGGTCAGTTCATTTTGTCAGTAGTAAATATGTTTAAAAGTGCTGTAATGGAATAACCTTATCTGAATAAGTAGGCGGCCCCCGCCGTGACGTCAGTACTGATTCCGCCGCGTGCACTGTGCAGAGCTGGGCGCGCGCCTGGCCGAGGTGGAGGAGTTCAGCGTCCGCGGCGGCTGGGTCTCGCGCGTCATCCGGCGCCGGAAGCTGCGGCTGCTGCACCAGAGACACAAGTCACGGAAGGAGGAGGAAGACTTCACAGGTCGGGACGTCGCACTGAACATACCTATATTGTTGTGTAGGTGGATAGACGAGCTCGCTCCCCCGGCACTGAGCGCGGCAAACCGGAACGCACTACTGATGCGTGCAATATTGAACCCGCGAGCGGGGGGGACTATATCCCTTCTATAGATAGAGCGATGGGACAGTCGTCCTATAAATGCAATTGTCATGCAATGCGAACAAGCCCTGACCCATCGGCCGGTCACCGTCCTTACCGAACCCGTTGCTTGCGACGAAGGGCTCGACGAATAAATTAAAATTAACCTTCAGACACAGTCCACTGAGTATCTCGCCGGATCTTCTCAGTGGGTCGCTTTTCCGATTCGGTGGTAGATTCTGCGAAGCACGGCTCTTGCTATGGCCAGTGTTAGCAACACTTCGGTTAGAGCCCCGTGAGCTCACCTACACGTCAAGACGACCTTGAAATATCCTCTCAAGGCTATCAGAATGGGTAGGAAAAAAAAACTGGCCCACATGACGCTGCGCGGGCGCCCGCCGCACTCCCCACTGACGCAGTAAAAAATCTCTGCCGGAGCGGCGGGTTCCGGGTCTCACTGTACGGTCGATTCAATAAAATTAAAGCATCATGTTATTTTTCGGATTGCTTTTGTAAGCAAACGCACATTCGGTCCACCCGATGATGAGTGGTCACGGTCCGGCCGCTGTCTGCTGCTATAAGACCTTATCCAGTTCAATAAGAGAAAAATTAAAAGTAAATCTTAATTTGCAGTGTTTCGCGGTTTTGACATGGCGGAGGAGGACGTCGGAGGTGAGTATAGCGTCCGGGCGGCGGGAACACCCCGTCCCTTCACTTAGAATCGGCCACTTGTCGTCGAACGTTTTAAAAAACGTATTTCAAAAGTCAGTACAAACAAAAATACGTATATACCATTAAACTCTTTAAAGACCGAACAAAGAATAAAATACATAATAAAATACATTTCTTATTGAAAATGATATAGGTGCTTATTAAACGCAAAACAGAACGTCGCCGTCAAATCCTTAATAATATTAACAGAAGTAAAGATTGTGGTGTCGGTTGCAGGGTTCCTGGGCTGGAGCCGCCCCCCCGCCGCGGCGCTTCCGGCCACCCCGGCCCTCCCGCCCCCCCGCACCGCTGAGGACAGTGACGACGACGGGTTCTTCGAGCAGAGCTCCCTGGGCGACTCCGACTCCTCGCGGCTGGACGAGGAGCAGCGGCACGCGGTAACCGACGACCCTCGGCATGCTTACTGGCTGAGCTACTGTTGACGATCACTACCTTTTTTTTTTTTTTTTTATTGCCTTTGTAGGCAGACGGGCATACGGCCCACCTGATGGTGAGTGGTTACCGTCGCCCATGGACTTCAGCAATGCCAGGGGCAGAGCCAAGCCGCTGCCTACCGCTTAATACTCTCCATAAGCCTCGTTTGAAGAAGGACATGTCATAGCGCTCGGGAAACACCGTGGAGGGGAGCTCNTGATTTTTTTTTTATTGCCTTTGTAGGCAGACGGGCATACGGCCCACCTGATGGTGAGTGGTTACCGTCGCCCATGGACTTCAGCAATGCCAGGGGCAGAGCCAAGCCGCTGCCTACCGCTTAATACTCTCCATAAGCCTCGTTTGAAGAAGGACATGTCATAGCGCTCGGGAAACACCGTGGAGGGGAGCTCATTCCATAGCCTAACCTAACCTAAAAGCAATCTCCTAATAGCATATAATATATCTTAACATTTATAATATACGACGACATTTATACGACGAAATTGATAACTCAGAAACAGTTCACATACACACATAAGACTAACAATACCAGTTTTGAAAATAAATAACCATCATCTATACTAATATATAAATCTACAGTGGTTTTTACGGATGTTCCGTTATAACTACTGAACCATGCATCCGATTGACTTGAAACTTGGTATCCATGTAGAAAATACATGTACTTAATGGATAGACTAATATTTATATGAGTGTTGGACTCCCTAATAATAATGCTAAATGTTTAGAAACTGAATAGAGTGTAATCGTGTGTCGCGTGCAGGAGGGCGGGTGGCGCGGCGCGCTGGACGTGCGCGGCGTGGCGGCGCGCGTGCTGGCGGCGTGCGGGCCCCGCGCGCTGCCCGCAGACGCGCTGCTGGGCCGAGCGGCACCGCGCCCGCGGGACGTCTCCACCGTGCTGCTCGCCACGCTGTTCCTGGTGGGTACCCACTGCTTCTGGCGAACCAACGAACGATAAATTCGTTGTCATTGGAAAGTCTTACTACGTTAAGTTTGGAAATTGCAAGAATATTCCGAAAAAACGTTGACAAAACCTGATCTGATCACTGAATGTTAACAAATCCTTGAGTTCGAGAGCTCCCGGCGGCCGCTCCGTCGCCGTGACGTCACGTCACCGCCCACAGACACGGCGGCGCGGCAGGAGCGAGGCTTTTCAACTTAATGTCTTTTTTTGTTTTTAAATATATTAAATATTGATTAGCGGATCACACGTATACATAATATAAGGCTAGATGCACGTTACTTCACAAATCAACTCAACACATCGGGCAGCATCCAAGACACGAAACTCAGAATGTAGGCCGCAGTGCGTCGCAATCGCCCCTCTGCAGAATAATACCGTGTAATAAAATCAAACGCAAACAAAGTATTAATATGTTATATTTCTAGTTTATTAACTGATGGTACAGCGTGGAGTAAAGTAATTTTACAATAGACTTAGCATTTTAGCATTGTTCTGCGTGAGTGCGGCCCGTGGACAGTAGCGCCGGCGCCGACTGTGCGACCCGCGGAGGGTGCAGAACTAGTACATTAGATTTTATAGCACTTGGGATGCTCTAAACAAAAATGTTACTGCTGATTATGTAGGCCAGTTTTGATCATTTGAGATCGTAAAAAATTAAATTAGTAATTAGTAATAGTAATTAGTCTTTCTCATTACAGGCCAACGCAGGCAACGTGGAAATAATTCAAGGTCCCCCGCTGAGTGTGAACTCGTTCTCAGTTCGGCTGCTGTCCACGGACCACACGCTCTACACGGCCGCTACACAACTTGATCTCGACAAAATATCTCGGTGAACTCGAATAACACACCGGCGGTAGATACTACTGTTACGGAGCCGTGGGAAGCATCTTGTGAACCACCTAAGAGTTCACAAGAAACTAGAGCTTATTAAATAAAGTATTCTAGATGATTACCGTTTTAAGCACTCCCAATCCCGCTGAGCTGATACAGTTCATAACAAAATAAACTGAGGAATTAATTGATTATAACTTATAACACTACTACACGCTACGTTCGTGCTCTGCGGTAATCTGTTTTTAAATATTATTGTAATGCGTTTAGATTTCGATTACTTACAAATACTGTTAAAATAATTGATCGATGGTTGTTTTCAATTAACGTCGAGTGACAGAGAGGCTCATATCAATTATCCTATAATTTCAAAAAACGGTAGAATTTTGTAAATAAAAAATTAACGAATCCAGAAATTTATATTCCTATATACTATAATCGGACGTATTTTGTTTTTGTTTTTATATAGATTGTACTGTTTTATTTAAATCAATGAACAATATATGTACATAATATCAATTGTAAAAATTAAATCTTGTAAATATGTGTGTAAATGAAATGTAAATAGTTATAAATGTGATACTATGTCGCGTGCAGGGCACAGCTACTTGGGAACTGTATGTACTTGCAGTTATTTAGGTGCACACGGCCACATGTACGGGCGCGGCCGCCCTACAGGGGACGGAAATTGCATTATCTCCACCCGGAAACATATTAGACCTATAATGGTGAAATGGAAGAAATGCCTTCCTGTACCTTGAATCTGTATGTTTTGGGTACTAATTGGAGCCGCACGATGTGCAGCGCGCATAACATTCGTTTTTACTGGTGGTAGGACCTCTTGTGAGTCCGCACGTGCAGATACCACCACTATTTCTGCCGTGAAGCAGTAATGTGTTTCGGTTTGAAGGGTGGGGTAGCCGTTGTAACTATACTGAGATAACTTATATCTCAAGGTGGGTGGCGCATTTACGTTGTATATGTCTATGGGCTCCGTAAACTACTTAACACCAGGTGGGCTGTGAGCTCGTCCACCCATCTAAGGCATAAAAAATAAAAAAAAATACTTAATAATTTTGAAGTAGATGATTGGCCAAACAGATATAATCTGACCCAACACCGCATAACTATGAAGCCGTTAATGACCGTACAATCGCGCTGCGACCCCGGGACCCTGACCAGATTCCCTTCACGTTAAATATTCTTTAAAGTTTTTCCAAAACATTTAAACAACTTCAACAACAAAAAGTTCTCAATCATGGACAAATATTTTTATTAATCAAAAAAATTAGTCAGATTTTATTTTTGTATTCAAAATCATGGTAACTATTTTTGTAAACTAGTTTTTAATACGATCCATTCTTGTTGCCTTATTTTATTTCAAAGTAGGGCGCATTAGATCCGCGCACTGGATTCAAACACTAGATCCGCGCACTGGATCCACGTACTAGATGCGCGCACTGGATCCACGCACTAGATCCACGTACTAGATGCGCGCACTGGATCCACGCACTAGATCCGCACACTGGCTCCACGCACTAGATCCGCGCACTAGATCCACGCACTGGATCCGCGCACTAGATCCACCCACTAAATCCGCGTACTGGATCCATGCACTAGATCCGCCCACTGGATCCGCGTACCGGATCCACGCACTAGATCCACGCACTGGATCCGCGCACTAGATCCACCCACTAAATCCGCGTACTGGATCCATGCACTAGATCCGCCCATTGGNGATCCACGCACTAGATCCGCGCACTAGATCCACGCACTGGATCCGCGCACTAGATCCACCCACTAAATCCGCGTACTGGATCCATGCACTAGATCCGCCCACTGGATCCGCGTACCGGATCCACGCACTAGATCCACGCACTGGATCCGCGCACTAGATCCACCCACTAAATCCGCGTACTGGATCCATGCACTAGATCCGCCCATTGGATCCGCGTACTGGATCCACGCACTGGATCCACATACTAGATCCATGCACTAGATCCGCCCAGTGGATACATACACTAAATCCGCGCACTGGAACCACGCACTAGATCCACGTACTAGATCCGCATACTAGATCCGCCCACTGGATCCACGCACTAAATCCGCGCACTGGAACCACGCACTAGATCCACGTACTAGATCCATGCAGCCACGTGGCCGTACACTTCACATTTGAAAACATTTAACTATGTTATAAAATAGTTTCTGTTAATTTTATCGAAATTGAACTTAATTTTGCTCATTGAAGACGCTCGCACAGAATTACTGTCGTTTAGAAATTGTAATGTAATGTTATGTAAAATAATCTTAACTTAATTTTGCTGTGTTGAGCCGCCAGAGGCAGATGTTTATGCAGGTGAACTTTAAAAAAACCAATTTTTTTTGGAATTTTAACTTTGTAACAATTGAGCGTTCATGAAAAGATACATTAATAAGCATAAAACATCAAAGAGGAGAAACATTAAAGTGTTTTAAAAATAAATAATACTAAACTGACGGCAGAATTTTTAATTATTTGATCCCAAAGTTTCATTTGTAGTATATAGTCGCATTGTGTGGTGCGTCGTCGGTGACGTCACGCGCCACACGTGCTGTATTAAGTCAAGTCCACAGACACCGTTGATTGAGCGGGGCGGCCGCCTTCCGAGGGACAGACTGCAGTACAATAGTGCGGCGGTAGCCATCATACAACACAAGATATTTGACAGATGCCTGAATTTCGCTTACGACATTATCAAGATAGGCTTTCTTAAATACAAGTTCAAAACAACAACATCCGGACCGTCGGTCTACCGAGTGACCACACCCGCTCGGTGGAAGATCTTCCCTTCGTCGTATACCTCTAAAAGTAGTGATCGTTTATTTTCTCCTTATCTATTACCAGCAGTGTCGAGGGGTTCCCTGCTCCCGGATGTATCGGCGACCTCACGGGAGTGTGCTTCTAGCATTTGGTTCGGCTGTAGTACCCGGACGATTAGTGTTGTGTGCTTAGTGCGAGTTTTTTAACGTTCTCGATAACGTAAAAGTTAACTCATATTAGCGGCAAACGTTCCAACTCCATACAAATTTGAATTAACTTAAAAGTTAACATTAACTTGTATGGAGTTGGAGTGTTTGCCGCTAGGGGCGCTGTTGCTACTGTCCAAAAAACATTATTGTCTTTACAGAGAAGAAACTGACAGTAAAATCTTGCCGTTTATTTGATCGGATTTCGTCCTCACGGCGAGAGGATGCTACGTTTGATTATAATTACTGGTGGTAGGACCTCTTGTGAGTCCGCCCGGGTGGGTACCACCAGCCTGCCTATTTCTGCCGTGAAGCAGTAATGCGTTTCGATTTGAAGGGTGGGGCAGCCGTTGTAACTTACTTGAGACCTTAGAACTTATATCTCAAGGTGGGTGGCGCATTTACGTTGTGGATGTCTATGGGCTCCAGTAACCACTTAACACCAGGTGGGCTGTGAGCTCGTCCACCCATATACGCATTAAAAAAAAAATTATTTAACAGTGATTAAACAAAGGACAGCTGCTATTTTACTTTTCAAACTGGCATGGCCATATATATACCTACAACAGTAAAACAAAGTATTCCCGAAAAGGGATTTTTTATCTTAAAAATAAAATTAGAAACATCAAATACTATTGTTAGATCCATCTCGTGTCTATTTTAGCAGTGTCAACTTGATATTTCTATTTTAGTAACTTAATCTTCCAGTGGTTGTTGTTCACAAGTACCTATAAATATAGATTGTGCACTCATTGTTTGTTCGCGATGAACGAGTTGGTTGTATTTTCCTAGTGGATAAATATTTTCACTAAAGGATTTATCGAATGCTATACGTTTTCTACTAGATGGACCGACGACCTGGTAAAAAGCGCTGGGTCTCGTTGGATGCAGGTGGTAATGGACCGGTCGCACTGGAAATCTATTGGAGAAGCCTATGTTCAGCAGTGGACGGCGATAGGCTGAAATGATGATGATGATGATACGTTTTCTAAAAGAGCAAAGATGGTTCTCGGTTCCTGCTCCGGCATTAGGATACTTATAATCCTAATTACTGTTAATATATCTCTGTGTAGAGAGTTTAATATGTGACGAATTATTATGATGTTATTTCAATAAAAATGATACATCCTTGGAGTCTGAATATTTTATTATTATATTTATTACAGCACGAGGAGAGCTTCTCCTCAAACAGACCTCTTGGAGTGCCTCGCTTCCCCGAGACACATCCTGTTTCTACAAACTTTGACAAATTTATTGGACTATTTGGTAAATATCTAATAGCTGACGTATTAACTGACCGTTGTTAACTTCATAAATACATTAGTATTTAGAATGAATATATTCTATACTGGATTGGCAGTAGGAAATACCTTTGAAGATTTTGTTGGCTCCGTACACCTGACTTCTTCAAGAAGGGCGTTGAAATATGACTACTGCGTTGACAGAGATGCCTCCATACCATGGGGGCACATTTTGATTGTTAGAAACAAAATAAAAAAGTAATTTCCCGTTGATTAAATGGTGATTTCGTAGGTAGAGACATAGCACATACCAAAGTAATAAAATGTGTTATAAAACAAACATTCCAATTGACTCTGAAACTGGACATCGCTCGAAATGTCGACCCCAAGTATCCCAATACTTATGGAACGTTGCAGGGATACTCCTTGGAATTGCGGCACCGTGCCAAAAGGGGTCCTTCTTCTCAGTGAATGTGCAAACTTGTGTCTTCAACGGGTTGAATTGAACCAAGAGATAGATAGAGAGAGTATTCTTTAATGTACAATCCATCAATAGACAGCATGTCATTGATATACAGGATGAAAAGCGTGGGGGCAGTGGCGGATTTTCAGTGTCGGCCGCCCTAGGCCTCAAGCCATCAGCCGCCCCTTTCTCAGCATCCACCAATATAGACTACATAATGAAATTACTTTATTGCCAATTTTTATCTAAATACTTAGAAATTTAGGGAAAACATTTAATTTTATTTCGCAAGAACATAAGTTGTTACAACTAGTTATTTGCTCTAACATACTCTGCCTACTTGGCATACTTGGTCATGATAACTTTTACACGAGTGTTATCAACATTCAACACTTAATTTCGAGATAAATATTTGAATATCTAATTAAACACAATTAATTTGTACAGAGCTACTTGTTATCGCAAGTGCGGGTGGGAAGTGTGGATAAAAGTAACCATGAGTTTAGTATAATAAATAATAATAATAGCTGAGATGATGATAGAGTATTTGAGGATGCGGTATAGATTGCACCATGCAGTGCAGTCCGCCCGCCATACTTTATAATAAGTTTTTTGACACGATTGGGGCCGTCCCTAAATCTAGCCGCCCTAGGCCCGGGCCTACCGTACAAGGGCAATAAAAAAAATTAAAAAAAAAGGCCGCGTATGTGGACCGCTTGAGGTGTGCAGCATCCCTAATGGCATCGTTATACTAGGGTCCGCTGCGACCCCCGACGGACACCTCAGAAGAGGAAATAAACAATTCCATACCCTGGGGTACCACGTCTTTAACGGTCCGCACAAACGTCAGGATCACTAAAGGAAAATAAGAACTGCCCCCATGTGTAGGATGTGTAAAATTCACGCAATCTATCCCAATCGGCTGACATATATCGCCAAACTCTTCGATACTCGGTCGTCGTCCGACGATCAGGACGAGAATGGTGAAGTAGTAGTAGTAGTGGTAGTGGAGCGTCGACCACCACACTGTATCCGGCTGGATCGGTGGTCAGCAGAAGGTCCAACAGAGAAGGCTCGTGCCCCTCAATATCTGGGACACGGGTGGGCTGTGTCACCAGCTGGGAGAAGTCGTAGGCCAGGGTGAAATCGTAGGCAGCCCGACTCGGGAGGTCAGTGGTTCTGGACCACAACCACTCTTGGTGGTGAGCGTTAAAGTCTCCAAGGACCACCATCTCCACAGATGGGTACTACTCAAGCACGCGGTCAGTCCCTTCTTGCATATCAAAGCTGAACCTGCATAATACCTATGAGACCTGTACAGGTACGCGTAGACTCGGGTACAAGCCTCGTGATCTACCCGCAGCCACAAGAGAGACAGGTCCCATTGTTCGAAGCCCTGTAGAAGGCGACAACAAAGATCCGTCCGGACGAATACGCACACCCCCGCTTTACGCAGGAAGTTGAGCTCCAATACGTAGCCGGGGCTTTCAAGGTACGAAGTATCACCTGGAGCAGATATCTACGTATCCGTCAGAAAAAATAAGGCTGGCTGCGATGTCTCAAGATGGTGGTGTACGGCGTCAAGGTTGCTGTGTAGGCCCCTAACATTGCTGAAATCTACATTAAATGTGGAATGGGAAATCGCCAACAAAGTCTTTTCCTTTTTTCGAACTGTCTTATTATATTATTTTATTTTGGAAGAGTGGATTGGATGTGGTAGGATGTTCAAGGTGAAATCATGACAACAACTAAATAAAGCGCGGAGCACAGTGTGTTTTCGACCACGGGTTACGAGACTAACGCAGGGCATCTAAGGGCCCCCAGTCCACCCTGCGTGCGATCGCCGGGATCCACTCCGGTCTCCGACTCCGGCACGACGACCGCACGACAAGATTTGGTCAAACAACCACGTCCCGCGAACTCGCACGGGCGTCTGGTCCGCATGTTCCAGGTATCATCAAAATTAACCTCCAACAAGGAAGGGAAAAGGGAAGGACTAGAACTGGCTCTCCAACCCACACGCCGGAACACAGCTAGGCTATTTGGCGGCGGACTCTAGTTGGAGGGTCGTCGCCAGCCAGTCGGACAAGGTCCTAACACCGATTGTGTTTTCGGCTCCCGTTTAGCACCACCCAGGGGTCACTTGTAGGGTATGGTGGGTTAAACCTACGGAAGTGGGAAACACCAGCCCCTAATCAAACCATCAAATTCAATATTACAATTTCGTATATTAATCTTAGTTCAAGGAATAATATAAATTATACATCACATTAAATAGTTACTGTAATGTAATTTTAGTACAACATATTGATTGACCGGCCGCCAGTTCTAAAATAAAACCAGTTTAATTAATGAAAATGTTTAATTAATGCAAGCGGTCGCGCGGCTCACACGGCGGGCGCGAACCCGAGCTGGCGGTTCCCCGCGTCGAACTCCGTGTAGTACTTGCCGATGAACACGTCCCCCAGGATCCACAGCGGGCCCATGGGCTTCGGCACGTCCAGCGCCATGAAGCCGGACAGGCACACCGTGTGCCCCATTTGTGCCACCTGTCACATGTACAAACAGTCACCATGTCCTTTACTTACGTATGACGTCAGCGCATTATAAATGATTCCCGTCTGATACAATAGAAACTACGAAAGCTGTGAACTGTCCCCGCAACTCGTCTGTCTGGTCGGGGCGTGTGCAACTCACCCGGAGCACGTAGTCGTTGCCCTCGAGCGTGAAGTCGTTCCCGGCGATGGTAAAGGTGACTCGCGGCAGGTGCGGTATGAGGCTGCAGTCCACGACGTACTGCCCGAAGGCGATGGCCGTGGCGCCCACCGCCGCGTTGAGGGCTTCCACCTCCTTGGAGGGCCCGGCGATCAGCGACGTGCCCGTGTCGGCGATGGCCGAGCAGCCCTGGGGGGCGGGAGTTTAGTCATTAGTGTTTCCTACGAACTTGAAGTGACGTCATCTGTAAGTATCTTGTGTCCTATCAGCTTGTGCTTCTACTCAACAACCAACACTGAGGTGGGGACTAGGCCGCGCCTGTAGCACAAGTTGTTGGTTGGGTTGTGTTGTGAAACAACTTCAAGATTAAATATTTTATAATTTCAATGTGTTTTATTTACTGTATTATTATTTTTATTTTTAAATTATTGTCTATTTTTGTTTATAAATGTAATGGTGTCACGATTATTCTTATAGGTAAACATGGTCGAATAGAGCGAACCTGGGCACAGAAGCGGCTAGCGTTGACATTGACAGAGTCCATGTGGAACTCCCAGTACGTGTCCCGGAGTAGGGGCACCCGTACGAGGTCGCCTCGGTAGTGGGCGGGGTCGGAGCCGCCCAGCAGCAACTCGCCGCCTGTTGTCGCCCCGGGGTCCCTGGACCACAACACGGGTACGACGTTCAATCAAGACCAACAACAATGGCTGGGTCTCCAACTTTATGTTCTACAGGGCGTGCTCCGAGATACCGTTTGTATGCCATAGCAGCGTCGGCCGCCGCAGGAGAGCACGGCCGAGCCGGTTGTTGGGCCACACTTTTTTATATTTCTTAAAAGTTTCGACGGCCGCCATTAAACTTGAGACATGAAGTCGAGACATGAGTTCGAAGTTGCCCCGTTCACAACGGGAGGGGGTACTAGCGGCTTGGCATTGGTCTCGGTATTGAAAAACTCTGAGTTATCAAACTATTAGAAATCATTTAAGGACTCAAGATTTGATGGTTCCACCGACTGGATGTTGACTGTCCATGTCAGGTCAGGCAGACGAGTGACGTGAGTGAGGTACCCACCTGTTGAGATAGAACGAGAAGACGGGCTGCACGAGTCCCTGAGCCACCATGTTGTCGAACACCGGGGTCACATGGTCCACTGCGATACTGGAGCACAGACACATCGTTACAAGCCGGCGTACCTGACTCCTACCTCCTCGTGTCTTTTTTTTTTTCCTACCTAGCTGGTAGCCTAGAGAGGCTATTCCAGCGTAACTGTAACTAGTAGGTGAGCTCACGGGGCTCAAACCCGACGACGATGCTAACACGAACCCTAGCAAGAGTCGTGGTTCGCAGAATATACCACCGGATCGGAAACGCGACCCACTGAGAAGATCAGCGAGAAACTCAGTGGGCTGTGTCTGAGGGTTAATTTACTCGTCGAGCCCTTCGTCGCAAGCGACGGGTTCGACGAGAACGGTGACCGGTGCTTGAAGTACCTAGAAGCACCGTTAGTGGATCGGGAGGATCCGAGATGACGTGGCTCGTGTCAGAGCTTCGGTGACCGCTTAGCCCCAGGCGGGCTTGCACTCGGCGAGTAGCAGACCTACTCGTACATATAGCGTGCGCACGACTGTTTTGACTATAGGATGAGTTCTTAAAAATTTTACATTTTTATGCTCAATACTTGTGAACTGATAAAAACACACATGTGGCACTCGGGGATTGCCGTGGTTAAGCTAATGCATAGCATTTTTTATCAACTTATGCAATTATAATTAGACAATAATAATTTAATATTAAAACAATAATAAAATAAGACCACGCTANAGCGTGCGCACGACTGTTTTGACTATAGGATGAGTTCTTAAAAATTTTACATTTTTATGCTCAATACTTGTGAACTGATAAAAACACACATGTGGCACTCGGGGATTGCCGTGGTTAAGCTAATGCATAGCATTTTTTATCAACTTATGCAATTATAATTAGACAATAATAATTTAATATTAAAACAATAATAAAATAAGACCACGCTATAGTTATAAACATTAACAAAAACAAAACATTAACTGTCTCCTTCACACTCATAAGCTAGACCGCGCGAGAGAGATGGGCAGACTTTTCATGATGCGCATGCAGTGCGACGTCACGCCGCGCGCTTATTCACAAACACTACACGAGCGCAACGTGTGAATGTGTTGAACACGAGCTACATGGTAGGCGGAGTGGGAGGTGTTATATTTCATTTTCGTTACGGAATTTCTTGATTCGGTCGCCGCGCTCAAAGCCCGCGATAAAAGCTATGCAATAGCTTAAATATAATTTACAAATGTTATCGTCATAGCCTTGTATTCGCGATAAACTTTTTATTTTATAAAATATAATTGATATCTTGACGAACACAGAAAATTGTACTATTGCATGACGGCCATCCTCCTTGTATATATTTCACTGGATCTCGTTCGGTCGGCAGCTCGCGAAAGGGGGAAGAGCGAGGGGCGCACGTGCCACGGTACTACACCCCTAACTGAACATATCTCCATGTGTAATAGTGACGATTATACCCGTGTGGGCCACAGAACTATGCAGATATTGAGTTGTGCGTTTTTGTAGAGTTCCGCTGCCCCGTGGCACCCCTGTGTACGTGTGTGTATGGACCGGTGCGACATACGTGCTGAAGGCCATCCCGAGGATCCCGTCGAACTTGGCAGCCACGAAGGCAAGCCCGGGCTCCGACACGGCCTCGGCGAACGTCTGGCGCCGCACCTTGAGCCCGCCCACCTGCGCGGCACGACCCAACTTATTCACTTTTCTGATTTCAATTCATAAAGCAAGTAAAGTAAGAGAATAAGCTTGCTGAATAATCGCGATATACGAATCTAATATATACATATAAAGTCGATGTGTGTGTTTCCTGTAGACCTCGTCCAATCGGTGAACCGGTTTCGAAGAAATTTTCAAGAGATCTTCAGATTGGCCTTCAGATTGGCGCTCGTCATATGCTTGGGCTTATCTTGTAAATAATAAAAATAAATATATTTTATTTATAATGAAATGAAAAATTTATAGAGTTCCTCGTGTTGTGACATTCCCCCGAGACAAGTACCCTTGAAGGACCTTGTAGGCGCTCCGTGAGCGGTGTGACATCACAAGTAATTAGGAGAAGACAAGGATACTCACGGTGACATCATCAGTGGAGAGGAAGCCGGAGAGGCTGCCGGAGCCGTACTGTATCGCGAACTGGGTGCCATTCGCGACGTACGACGTGGACTTGCGGCTGTCGTACTTGTTGTGCAGCACTAGACACGGTCAGGACACAACCTAAGTCTGCTTACATCGGCCGAGGACATTTCGACCTTTACCGAGTCCTACGTGACCCTCACGTCGCATGCTCTCGACGGCCACGTCGGGCCTTGGGTCTGCGTATTACCGGTGACCAGTACCACCATACGTCTTCATACGCACCGGTCTGCCTGTTGCTACCGGTCTCGAACAACAACTACTCACGCCCGTCTATGAACTCCGGTCCCAACCAACACCAGCCGAGTCCCGGACTCGCCTACTCACGCAGGTACTCCGTATTAAACTCCTCTTAAAGTTAAGCCAAGTTAAATTTATATAAAATGAAGTGCATTCACGAGTTCTCACAGTTGGTGAATTGGTAGTGATGCAGACTGACGAGCTTTTGGTCCAGCTGATGTTAAGCAGAATAAATTGTAATAGAACAAATATATGAGCAGAGTTACTGACAACAAGCGATGTTGGTGTAGTGGCACTTTTTGGAAGGCACCCAGAGGTTGGAGGATCCGGTGTCGAATACCACCTTGAACGACTGCGGCGGCGTGCCGATACTGATCACTCCGTAGTACTGAGCCTGTAACACAAGTCCACGCGACCGTCACATCTTCCAACCACGACAGTCTCGGCTGATGTTCTACGGTACAAGATGCAATATTTTTTTTTATGGCTAAGTTAAGTGGTTACTGGAGCCCATAGACATTTACAACGCAAATACGCCACCCACCTTGAGATATAAGTTCTAAGGTCTCAGTATAGTTACAAGGGCTGCCCCACTGCTTCAAGCCGAAACGCATTACTGCTTGACGGCAGAAATAGGCGGGGTGGTGGTACCTAACCGTGCGGACTCACATGTGGTCCTACCACCAGTAATTACGCAAATTATAATTTTGCGGGTTTGATTTTTATTACACGATGTCATTCCTTCACCGTGGAAGCCGATCGTGAACATTTGTCAAGTACATATTTCATTAGAAAAATTGGTACCCGCCTGCGGGATTCAAACACCGGTGCATCGCTAGATACGAATGCACCGAACGTCTTATCCTTTAGGCCACGACGACGTCTACAATAGCCCATTACAGGCTAAAATGGTCATAATTTATTTAATATCTCATAATAGGTTCGTGCAAATTTATTAATAGACCGACATTCAGCTGTTCTGGCGCCCTACCAACACAATAATGGTACGTCACACGTCAGCGGCGTGGCAGAATAACACTACGACGTTACAATATTTGTTAGATGCGCCAATATTATGATCTGATGAACCGACATTTAAAAAGAAGAAAAAAAAGCAAATCGAACCTTTTTGGTTTTATTATTTACAAAGAATTCTAAGAACGAAACGGCTGACGTATCGCTCTCACTCTATAGAGATCATTAAAGATGATTTAATTTCGAACAAATTAAGAGACGGTTCGAGGTGAGTAGGTTATCGCCCGGCGACCACTGACTCACAATCACATGTTTTGAATACAGTTCACCTCTAAATGGACTGAAGCCACTAAAAGTGGTTGAATGACTTAATGTTGTTTTGTACAGTAATCAAAACATTTCGAAATTCGTAGAAAACAACTATAAAACACTTATACAACATCACAACGTGGATGTTGCTGACCGCGATGAAGAACAAAGCCGACGTCTTCTATTACACCTGCCAAGTTGGAAAGCTTGCATCCTTCGTCATAGAAATATGCAGAACGTTTACAAAAACGAATCTTTATAGCGGCACACCCTACGGACATTAAGTTCGTGCAGACATTTTTCAGTCAGTATCCACAAAAGTTAATATTTATGCTCACTTCGTTTTTGAATACGTTAAATATTAATGACTTCAACAGTATTGATCCAATTTCTTATTGAATAGAGGTGCAATGTAAGGGACATTGTAGTATTTTATTGTTAGAGTATTTCTTAGCCTCAACAACAAAACTACCAACTTAAATAGTTGCATATCTAGTTAAAACTAAAAAGCACTAACCAGGAACAGAGTGAAGGCTGAACTTTAATAGAAAATAAAGTATATATCTGTCTGTTTCTAAGCATCAACCATTTCCATAAAAAAGGAAGAACAGTTCCTTGACTAACAATTTAAAATAAATTGACTAGAAGTTGCACTAGTTGAAAATTTCACCTAGGGGCACAATGCAATGCAATGCATAAATAAATAAACTGCATAATTAATTATGAATCCAGGTTATCTTACGGAAAAAGTTTTTTTTTTCATTTTCTATTAAACTTACGCTTGTAAACCTCATTATTACTATTAAATATAGATAATTATTGAGTTGAGTTATAGCTGTTTAATGGGGTCACAAATCTAACCAAAGACCATATTTTATTAAAAGCAATGTATTTTGGTTTTTTCCTGCATAAACCTATTACTATGATGTCATCAAGTGGCTGCAAACATCAAAAATTAAAGCTGTGTTCATACACAGCACTTGTTATCTATACACTGCAACAAGGAGAAACTCTCCTGTTGAATTAGAAAATACTATACTTTCTCTATTGTTTTACAGATTGACACTTGGGAAACTCAAAATGCAGTTGTGGATATTCACTCAAAGAGCCATCTATCAGTGGCCAAAGAGCTCATAAGCATAATCCTTTAAGCCTATCAGTCTATAATTTATATTTAGTTAAAGATTGTGTATGAAAATAGAATTCTCTTACATCAAGATAATTTGACAATGGTTCGGGTGAAGGGCCAGTCACATCATATTTTAATCTCAACAGCTCCAGTTCAGTGCCAACCTCATGAAAGTGGGTTCTCGCAGTTTTCATACGATGTAATGGGACCCTGCACAAACACAATCAATCATTTCATGGAAGTTTTTAAAAACACTATTCTAGTAATTATGAAGCATTCCAAACTAAGTTTATGCTTGTTAGTGAAAGTATCAATACAGTAAAATAATAAAAGCAGTAAGCATTTAAAAGCATACTATTATAATTTTTATGCATTTTTTGATGAAAATTATATGTTTATGCATCAAATCTTACCTATATAGTGCCATTACGGAGCTGGCGATCAGCGCCAAAAAAAATAAAGATATCTTTCCCATTGTTGTCTTTAGAAGCCGCAACTAGGCGACTCTGCAACACACGAAATGAATTAAATATATAATGCGACAAGTTTTTAATAAAAAAAAAACATTCTGGATTTAGGCAAGAACGGATTTCTATTTCAACGTACTGCTTAAGAGAAATTGACTATTGTTATTTATTGATTTATTAAAATAGATTACTGTGACCGTAACGTCTTGTCAATCGAAAAACAACGCAGTAAGTAGTAAAAACAGATTAAAATATGTCACAAATCGCCGGACATAATTGAAAAATTTGAAAATCACAACAATTGACAACTGTTAAGTGACATTGACTTTTTCATTTGAGCTACAGACTGCATTAGATGAGTTGAGTTGCAAACTGGTTTGCATGACAATGGAAACAGATTTTTTTACGGAAACGCGAGGTACGAAACTGTATGAATTGCTTTATTTCTTAATTTAGATTTTCTTCTGGTTTAAACGTATTATTTAAACGTAGTCGGTGTGGTGGAGCTCGATGGAACTTAGTTGGTAGTCGGTTTTGTGAGGCGCGCAGGGCAGTCTCTGCGAGGAATTGGGAGAGGTAGAGGACCTTGGCCATCCTCGTCTCCCTTGCCTCTCTGAAGACGCCGGAGTCCGACATAGCCCGGTCCGTTACCCCCTTCGACGGGGTATCCGTAAATGGATTCCCCAGCGTTAACAAAAAAAAAGTTTTAAACGTATAACACTGGTTAATAAGTCTTAAGCATTTGTGAAACTGAATAAATGTAGGAAACTATTAAAAGTTGCTGAATGTGGCTTTTAAGGATTTTCGAAGAAGTCCACAGAAGACAGTTAATTCTCACAATTTTACTGTAACTTTATTTCATGTAGCCTCGTTTTATCCCATTTTATTTTATTTGATTAAAATTTCAGTTAAATTAACTTTCTTTCATTCCAAAAGGAGGAATTTAAAATTAAAAAAATGAAATATTAGTGAGCCTTTACTTACAAAGTTGTCGCTTTACAATAATAGCCATTTAAAACGTAGGTAATGTATATAAGGCTGATAAAAATAAGAGTAATTATGGAATACGATTTCCAATGGTATCGTAGCTAATGGTTTGGTAGCAATGCTGCACAAACGGTTAACAATACTGATGACGTGTACAATGTAAACGCTTCAAACGGGCGTCAGACTTGTTATTGATTTGTCGTCTTTTAAGATGGATTTTGGTTTAAAAAAGGGACCCTTTATGTAGTCGCCCGAAAATTAAAATCAACAACGACGAATCAAAGGCTATAGTGGAAGCTGACGATACAATCTACCGCTGAGTTAGCACCAGTTTTCAAAGTTAGCATCAAGACAATAATGGTCCATTTGCGAGGTAAAAAAACTTGACAAGCGAGTGCTCGATTTGAATGATGGTCAGCGCGACGGACGCGCTAAATTATACGCATGCTTTACGTTACGTTAACAGATACAGAAACGAAAGGATTTTAAGCCGCATGTAGTAGTAGTAGTAGTAAGTAACTTCCAATGAAAAATATTTTTTTTGTTAATCGTAAGCGTTCATCATATTGGTTAGACCTTGATTCAGCATCGTGTCCAAGATAGGGATTGAGCAATCGGCGAAGGTATGCTGGTACACCGTGGTATTCCAGTGCCCCATTCTCACCGACCAGGGCAGGGTGTAAAGGCGTTGGCGACGACGAGAGATCGGGCCCCGCCTCAGTCGGGTGCTGGCCGCGGCGGGCCGCTAGACCACTGAGTTTCTCGCAGGATCTTTTCACTGGGTAGCGATTATAGATTCTGTATTTGTATTGTAGATTTGTGATTGCAAATTCTATCCGGTGCTAGATACTGCGAAGCACTGCTCTTGCTAGGGCTAGTGTTAGCAAATCCATTCATATTGAGTCCGTGAGCTCACCTACTCGTCCGAGTGTAGCTGGAATAGCTGAAAAAGCGGGCCGCTAGGATGCGCTCGAGCATTTTGTCAGACTCGTCTAGCTACGCAATGGCCGTCCCGCGGACTCACCTGTGGGACGCCCGTCCTTCCTCAACAGGACCAGCCTGCCAGTCTTTCGTTGCGACGGGAACCGTCCAGGCTCGAGGCACGCCTGAATAAGCTCCCCGAGCCGGTCTATTAGGGCACTGAAGGCCATACCGACCCGACTGTACGGCGTCCTGGCCGAGGGTCACGTCCTTCACTGAGGCAACGAGGCAACGTGCTCCACGCCAAATCCATCTCGCGGAAACGAACTCGTCCCAAGCAGGGGTGAGGCGTATTTATCGGAACAGTCAAACGAAACAGGTTCGTCTATGAAAAAACTTGGAACTGTTGTCTACAGACCGAAACAACTGTCCATTATATTCCATATGTTTCGTTGTTTCGTTCCACAGCAAACAGCCGGAAACGAAACAGTTTGGAGCAAGCTCTTTTTGCTTTTCACGTACAGAAATAGATAAAGATAGCATATACATCCTTTTTTTTAGCATATACATCCTGTTCCCCAAACAGTTTGTAACATGCTCTTTTCTCCTTTCACTTATTGTAATAGAAAAAGATAGCAATAACATTAACATGCATGCACATTTTAGCAATACTAGTTTCACATATCATTAAATTAATAAATCGAGTTGTCAGCCCTAAGCCTGAGAAAGCATGAATGATGTTTTCATTTCAAAAAATATATTAAAACCATTTCATATGTATGACTTTTTCCTTTATGTGGAACATATTCTACTTAAAACATTATTAAACCTGTTGCAACACAACAGGCTGTTATTTTGGAACAGGCTACAGGAGCTGTTCTTTCACTGGAACAGGAACAGGTGGAACAGGTCTCTAATTTCACCTGTTACAGACCATCCCAATTTTTTTTTTTTTTTTTTTTCAAGACATTGTTTGGTTTTTTTATTAGCATACATCGTCGGCGCTTCATAAAGGTTGCGATCCAAATTCAATTACCACGGAGCCTTGGGATGTAATCTACTTGCGGTGTGCTACATGGACGAACGGGAAATGTTAAGAGAATTAAGCATCAGTTCATCACGGTCATTGTATAAAAACACCAATAAATATTATAAAATTATTTGTAATTATAATAAATCGACAAACATAATTAAAATCTAATTTTATTTAAATAAAATTCTTTTAAGTAAAATACATTGTCCGTAGTCCGTAGATATAAGCAGCATTGACACGGTGACGTCACACGTGGGCAGACGGACGCGCGGATGCTACGCGAGGCCGAGCTTGTGTTTCTTCCGGATCTTCCTCACGTAAGCCTCGATCAGAGCCTGGATCTTTGTGGGGTTGATCTCTCCTGTTCTGTTGTGGCAGATCTGGAAATATAACGCGTCTTTATCATGTGTCATTAAAAACAATAATTGTCTTCCTGGAGTTAGTCGTGGCCTCCTCTCAGCTACCTGGGGCTAAGTAAGCTCGCTTGGGTATGCTGTGTGAGATAGAATAGTAGCGGGTACTACCTAACCTAAACATAAGGAGGCTGAGTTACTCGACGGATCTTCTCAGCGGGTCGCGATTACGATCCGATAATAGATTCATTCACGGAGCTGCTGTTGACTTCTTAGGTCTTCTTTGGAGGCGCTCGAGTAGTTGTTAACAAATCCTACCCCTCCTGGCTGAGCCCTTACCCGCCCACCTGTCGTCCTGGTGAAACTGGAAAGGCCTCCGGGTCACCAGTAATCCCTAAATCATTAAAAAAAACAATGGGTACCTTGGGGACAGCTCGTCGGAGCACATCCTTGTACTCTTCTTTAGTGATGCGCTTTCTGTTGTAGTGCGGCTTCAAGACCAACTTCACTTCTTCAACCACTCGCTCCTGTCTGTTGAGCTTCTTCAAGAACTGTGTTACAGAAGTACATTTACTGTATGAATCTATACATACTATAACACATAACTGGTTACAATATTTAAAATCATATTAATATATTGAATAAAAAAAAAAACTTGTTTCCCCATTGTACACTGGCACACTTAAACACACAAACATTATTTCTTAATTTACTATTATTTCTTGACGTTCGCATCTTGTGTCCCGCAGCTCTGAAATTGCCATTAAAATATGTTTTCTTGTATATTATTAATTACTATTGAGAGAGTGGCAAACCAGGCACTAAGTTAGGTCTCCCCCAGCCCCCTGGTGATGTATCGAACTGAACTGCTGGTACAACGTCGATTTGGTCTTTGCATAGTTGTTGACGTGCACACAACCAATCTCTAGCTTACTTGACTTAGCTTCGCCATAGAGCTCAGCTCTAGGTCGGCAGCAGCTGTATCATGGTAGCGAATACACCTAATACTAAAATTGATCCTAACAAATATCTCGATACTAACTTTACTCTTGACCTGCATCTCGACCGCAGAGCTGGGGAGTTCGTCCAGTATCTTCAAACTATCTTCATCTATTTTCACACCTACTTGAGTCTTCCCTGCAATGGATATGTAACTATTGTTATTTATCGGATCTCTATAAATATAATACCCAATAGGTAAATAATAGTTTTGATGTATATATACATATACAGTATATATGTATACAGTGTTTTCCGTTGGGTACACCTACCAAAATTTTAGATCATTTTTTTTGAGTTTAAATGGGATCCTGAATAATTTTTACTTATAATAGGTGGCATTGCAATCGATTTCTAATTTTTATTGATATACATATTTTGGATTACCATGCACAACCCACACCTCGTTTTCTTAATATTTGAAACCTAACTATTCATATATAATATATTAGACGCTTTCACAATAGCAAACCGTCAAGTTTGTTTATATAGACACACTAAAAACATTATTTATAAACTCTCAGTAATATAATAACAAAAAAATCCTTATTGATTCTGTCCGAGCGTCTGGAAGAAAGGTATAATTAGACACAATAGACGGCGCGACGAACAGTTTCCGCTACTGCGTGGTGCGTGTCATGTGAACACGAAGAGGACAAATAACTGAGGTATTCAAATTAATTACTACATGTCATATTAATTTATTTCTAGGGAATATGATCATAGACGTATGTTTTTCCTATTTGAGATTTAGATGAACTAAATCAAAAAAATAATAAACGCGTGATCACCGGTCAAAATAATTCTGATAGTGTTTACGATTCGCGATTACGATGAAAATACTAAAAACAATTCTAGATTTATGGATCACCGATCGATAAGAAAAAAACAAAAGTCTACTGCTCAGGAAATGCGAGAATCCTTGATTGAAGGTGGATCACCCATGTTTGTTAACGTGGCAGGTTGGCCAGCCTGCTAAGCTTTATT